CCATTTGTCTGACAGTTTGTCATACTGTGGTGGTTTGTGTGTTTGTGAGAAGCTGTGCCACAGGTATTTTAAATACCAGCAGGGTCTCTGTGGTGGATAGGTTTCAGATGAGCTTCTGGACAAAGACAGACTAGGAAAAAGAAGAGATGGACTACTTCTGAATATTTAGTCACTGAAAACTGTATGAATAGCAGTGGAACATTGTCAGCACCAGACTATTGAATATTGAAACATGAAGAAGAGCACCAGAATATTGTTAGGTATAGTGCCGAAAGAAGAGCTCCTCAGATTAGAAGGCATTCCAAATGCGACTGGGGAAGAGCTGCCTCCTTAAAGTATAGTTGACCATGATAACGTGAATGGAGTAAAGCCCTCCAGACTGTAATTTGCTGATGGTGCACAACTCAAAATGAAGAGAAACAGCTGTAAACATCCATTAGTAATCAGAGCATAGGATGTCTGAATCTAGGAAAATTGGAAGTTGTCAAAATTGAAATGGAATGCATAAACATTGATATCCTAGACATGACTGAAATGAAATGGACTGGCCATTTTGATTCTGACAATCATATGGTTTACTATCAAGGAATAAGAAATTGAAGAGGAATGGTATCACAATCATCATCAAAAAGAACATATCAAATCTGCCTTGAAGTACAATGTTGTCTTTGATAAGATACTATCCATATGCCTACAAGGAAGACCAGTTAATACTGCTATTATTCAAAAGTATGCACCACCCACTAAAGTCAGTGATGATGAAATTGAAGAATTCTACCAACTTCTTCAGTCTGAAATTGATCAAATATGCAATCAAGATGTATTGATAATTACTGGAAATTGGAAACAAAGAGGAAGGATCAGTCGTTGGAAAATACGGTATTTGTGATAGAAATGATTCTGAAGATCCCATGACAGAATTTTGCAATACCAAAGACTTGTTCATTGCAAATATCTTTTTTAAACAACATAAAGATGACTATACACATGGAGATAACCAGGTGGAATACAGAGAAATCAAATTGACTACAT